TTTCTGAAAACGAGTAACGGTCCAAACTGAATTAGAGGCTCAGCCTCTGGGCCTGATTCCGGCCCTGGTCCTAACTGTGTACTTGGCCACAAAACGGACAACAGCACATTAGTAAAAACACATCAGTAAATAAATAAATAAGAAATCAACTTAAAGTTGAAGTCTTTCCGATGCAGGCCTAAGTAAAATGGCCGTAGGGCCTCCAGGTTGCGGTGACGCGACCTGGGGGCCCTTATCCAACCTCGGGTCCCGTGAGGGGCCCGTGTGGAGGCTCTCAGCATGTAACATCAACAGTCTGCGGGGCTCACCCATGATGTGAGTAGGTGAAGTGCCAATTTGCTCCTTGCTAGATGCATAAACTGCCATTTTTGCACTCCGCTGTTCACTTGCTGCTGCCTGTTCGCTTCGCATGTCGTTCTTTGCAGTTGCTGGGTTCACTGTGTGGTAAGCTGCGGTGTTTGTGCCGTCTTGTGCTTTGCTGCACTGCTGCCTTGCTGCCCATCTGCATGCCTTGCCTCTCATGCTCGTTGCTTGTGTGCCGTGTAGTGTGGCTGCTTCGTTGGTGTTGCCTTGTGCTTCGCTGCGCTGTTGATATTCTGCTCATCTGCTTGCCGTGTTATCCATGGAGTTAGTTGTTGGCATTCTGCAGCCGGGGTGCTCCAGCAGCGTTGCCTGGCGCTTCGCTGGGTTGTTGCCTGCTGACGTGTTCCATTCGGGGACAGTCTGCCTTCAACAAGGGTCAAAGGGATCATGACCCTGACCCAGACCATCAATACGGAGATTCCGCAGATTGTCGAGGGTTCAGCCTCCTGATGAGTCAGTGAAAGTCAAACGACACAATTTATCATCAGCTTTTCTTTTCTTGTTTACGATCCTGGCCAATTTCGAAGTACACATTCATCAGAAAGTACAATGCCGTCCTATTGCAAAAAGAAATGAATGAACTTGAGAGGAGAGAGGGAAAGAAGAAGCAGAAGAGAAAAGAAAGAAGAAGAAGATGATGTACACTGGCATAGACCAATGACAATGCTCTCGTTCTTCGCCAACCACTCTCCTCCTCCTATCTCCTCCCCTCTTATTCAAACAAGAAATAACAATAATAATGTTGAATGGCTGAACCTGAATCAGTGTCCGAATTGCTCTTCTACTGCAGGCACAACGTGAGGTCCACCATAGCCATGGCGACCGTTCCTTTTCCTCTTCGTGTAGGATGAGGCTATGGCGGACTACTGAGGGCTCTACCCTCCAGTCCAAAGGACAACACAAAGCAGCTATGTCGTTGCTCACTAAGCTGCCATGCCTGACTCTCCCCCGAGCTTCCTTGGTGCACCACTACCCCAACTGGGGCCTTCCAGATGCAGCGCCTATCAAGGTGATGAAGATGGTGTCCACCATAGCCAGGTAGGTACCTTGCCGCTCTCCTCCTCGGTCCTCTTCTCCCTCCTCCTACCAGTAGAGCTCCAGCATAGCCGAGGTGAGAGCTCTCGGCCTTCTTCCTCTGTTGCATACTGAGCCACACGGGGCCCAGTTAGGGCCCGGTTCCCAGTAGGCATGGTAGGCCTAGGAGGACGACGGTTCAGACCAGGCCCAGATAGGCCTGAGGCAGGGCACGTTTAGGCCCAAACGGCCAGACGCCGGTACCGGTCCAGCCCAGGACCAACCGGCAGCATTTCAGAGGCTGCCACATTTTGGTGCCAAACCCAGTTTGAATCTGGACCGTCGATTCAGATCAACGGTCCAGGCCAATAGGTACCAGTAGGCAAGAGGCCTGGCCCAGCACTACAAAAGACTGGGTACCAGCCTCAGTCAGGTAAGGTTAGTATGGACGAAGGTTTAGTCTTCGGGATTAGCACAGCAGCCCAGCATTAGCTCGATTAGCGCAGCGCTGCAGCAGCGAGGAGCAGCGAGAGAGCAAGGTTCAGTGGAGAGCGGAGTAGCGCAGCACTGCGCGCCTTGCCAGTTACCGGCCCAGCCTCCCTTTGTAGCGCCATAGCCAGGTACCAGGGAGGAAGGCTTCGCCTTCTCTCCCTCCTCTCCTGTACCGCTTCTCTCTCTCTCTCTCTCCTCCTACCTTCTCAGCCTAAGTCTACTTCTACTTCTCCTACGGGACTACGACAGTATGGGAGATGGATACGAATTCTGATGACATCTGAGACAGCGACATTGGGACTACGAGCTGAGGACTATTTTGGGATCTAATTTCATATTCCTTCCGGAGATGTACTTGACATTGTGAGATCGACATCTGGGATATTGTGAGACTTGGCATTCGCGACATTTCGGATTTTCGTCATTTCTGACAGTTCAAGATACTATCTTTGGAAACATTGAGTTGACGGCATCTTCCCTCTCCTCCTCCTTCGTCTCTCTCTCCTCTCTCCCTTCGTCAGTGTATGATCTCAGCCCCTGGCCTTTCGTCTACACTCAAAGCCAGGGCATTCACACCCTGACGAATGTTTGAGAGTGTTCGATTGCAGTCCGAGTCAGGTCCGAGTCAGTCCAAAGGTATCTCAAGTCTTCCGCTTGCATTTGTATTAACTCTGTATTATCTGGTCGGTTCTGGGAATCTGCGCCATACTTCTGACTGTGTTTCATGAGTATGCAACAGTTTGGAATCGGAGCAGACCAGCATTGGATGACTCACCGTTAATTGATTGATTGATTGATTGATTGATTGATTATCAATACCTGCACTCTGTTATTATTAAATCGCAAGTGTCAATTTTTTTTTTTTTTTCTCTCGTACTTCCACGGTTAATTAGGTCGTTAAAATGGTAATTTTAGGTTTGCGACATTTCTCCATATCGCGCAATTAGGAAATCGCTAATTACGAGTAAACCTAATTAGCGCTAATTAGGGTTAGTCCTAACCTAATCTAAACGACCTACCTAACCTATACGAAGTAAGTGCCAGCCAGGCACCGCGCCAATCAAGGCTGATCGGGCCTGAGCAAGGCCATATTCGAACTGCAACTTCACTGAACTTTCACTTTTTGCAAACTGCATCCTTTTTTGCATTTGAAAGGTTGAATCTTTCCAGCAAATCATGTATCTTCCTGCTACCATTCATCTTCTAAACGAGTGACCTCGTGATGATGCTAAATTCTTTCGACGAAATTTCGTGAAAAATTTTGAAGTTATGTCTAAATGTTTAAACTTTCTTAAACTTATTCATTTCTTTTATTAATGCAAATTTAAATATTCCTGATTAAATATTAAATTTTTGTGAATTAATTATTGCAAATTTAAATATTCGCTGGGTGAGGACGGCGCCTGACCGGGCGTGCCCCAGGGGGGTCGCCCAGGCAAACCAGACGGGCCGAAAAACACCCGAGAATTTTTTTCTTTTTTTTCCTGAAGGCGGAGTCTTTCCGCGCTCGTCGAGAGGACCCCGAATCTGCAATAAAATTTTGGGTTTGGGGGGGTGGGGGCGGGGGGTTGGGGGTGGGGGGGAACGGGGAGGAGGAAGAAGGGATGGATGGCGAGATGGGATGGTGGGATGGATGGCAAGATGGGATGGTGGGATGGATGGCGAGATGGGATGGTGGGATGGATGGCGAGATGGGATGGTGGGATGGATGGCGAGATGTGATGGAAGGAGGAAGAAGGAGGAGGAAGAAGGGGGAGGAAGAACAAGGAGGAAGGAGGAGGAGGAAGAAGAGGGGGGGAAGAAGAAGGACGAAGAAGAAGGAGGAGGAAGGAGGAGAAAGGAGGAACGAGGAAGGAGGAGGAGGACGAAGGGGTGGATAGCAAGATGGGATGGTGGGATGGATGGCGAGATGGGATGTCGAGATGGATGGCGAGATGCGATGGAAGAGAAAGGAGGAGGAAGGAGGAGGACGAAGAAGGAGGAAGAAGAAGGAGGAAGAAGGAGGAGGAAGAAGGAGGGGGGGGAAGAAGAAGGAGGAAGAAGGTGAGGAAGGAGGAGGAGGAAGGAGGAGGAAGAAGAAGAAGGAAGAAGGAGGAAGGAGGAGGAAGAAGAGGGAGGAAGGAGGAGGAGGACGAAGGGGTGGATGGCAAGATGGGATGGTGGGATGGGTGGCGAGATGGGATGGCGAGATGCGATGGAAGAGAAAGGAGGAGGAAGGAGGAGGAAGAAGGAGGAGGAAGAAGGAGGAAGAAGGAGGAGGAAGAAGGGGGGAGGAAGAAGGGGGGAGGGAGAAGAAGGAGGAAGAAGAAGGAGGAAGAAGAAGGAGGAAGAAGGAGGAGGAGGAAGGAGGAGGAAGAAGAAGAAGGAAGAAGGAGGAAGGAGGAGGAAGGAGGAGGACGACGAAGGGGTGGATGGCAAGATGGGATAGTGGGATAGGTGGCGAGATGGGATGGCGGGATGGATGGCGAGATGCGATGGAAGAGAAAGGAGAAGGAAGGAGGAGGAAGGAGGAGGAAGAAGGAGGAAAAAGGAGGAAGAAAAAGGACGAAGGAGGAGGAAGAAGGTGGATGGCGAGATGGGATGGATGGATGGCAAAATGTGATGGAAGAAGGAAGAAGAAGGAGGCGGAAGAAGGAGGAGGAAGGAGGAGGACGATGAAGAAGAAGAAGAAGAAGAAGAAGAAGAGAAGAGGAGAGGAGGGGGGGGAAGGAGGACGACCTTTGTTTTTTTTCCGTTCACCGTTCATGACAACTTCCTAAGGTCGCCGAAGATATGCCCTGCCGCAAACAGCCAAAAGGCCGAAGAAGATAAAGATCGTCGTTAACTGCCGAAGGTCGACTGATGCAAGAAGAAGAAGAGGAGGGGGGGACAAAGTGGAAGACGAAGAAGAAGATGAAAGATTGTGGGGGAGGAAGAAGAAGAAGAAGAAGAAGAAGAAGTAGAAGAGAAGAGGAGAGGAGGAGGGGGAGGAGGACGACCTTTTTTTTTTCGTTTACCGTTCGCGACAAATGCCTAAGGTCGCCGAAGATGTGCCCTGCCACAAACAGCCAAAAGGCCGAACAAGATAAAGACCGTTGTTAACTGCCGAAGGTCGACGGATGCAAGAAGAAGAAGAAGAAGAGGGGAAGACTCAACGTGCCTGGTGGCCTCCCTTCCGTTTTTCTCACCTTCCGAGTCTCGTGCGACACAACTAATCGTCCAGGATACACAAGAAGAAGAAGAAGAAGAATGACTCATGTGAACGACGAAGATGAATGACGGGCGAATGGGGCAGCTCCAGCAAACAGCAATGGGCGGCGGGTCGAAGGGAACAGCTGCAGCGAACACGCGCGGACGGGTTGCGGGCAAGATCGCCGCCAATCAAAATTCGGTAGGAAACTTGCGTCGGCTCTGCGGGCGACAATAACGGCGGATCGACGGCCACAGAGCCGCCGCAATTTTCAAACGGTCTCTCGCAGGTCTATCGGGCCCGATGCCGCGGGTTTTCGGGCCGTGCGGACCCAGTAGGCCTGCGGAAGCCTCCGATCTGTCAAAATGAGGTTTGAAAATCCCAAAATGCCCTGTGTGCTGGGGAGGACCGGGGACCGACCAGGTGCGCTGCTCGATAAGGCCGCCCGGGACCCCACCCTGGCCCCCGGCGGTCCACCGGGCGACCCAGAACCCCACCTAGAATATTCATTAATCAAGTGTTTAATCTTTTGCCGAAATTAAAATTTTATTAATTCCTATTTTTTTGATTTTTTTTTTTTTTAATTTCTCAAAATTCGAAAATCCGTCGGGGAGGCGGGGGGRGTTTGTTTGTTTTCCCTTTTAATTAGTGTCAAACTTCGAGGTCAAGGGACAAAGGGACTGTTTGTGCATTGTGTGCCTCTCTGCCCCTCCTCCCCACCCAACCGTCTCTTCTCCTCTCGGTACACGATTGCCAGCATCCGGACACGTCAACAGAGTGCCACCTAAGCAGTGACACGTCAACAGAGTGCCACCTCAGTAGTGACACGTCAACAGAGTGCCACCTCAGCAGTGACAAGTCAGCAGAGTGCCACCTCACAAGAGTGTCACGTCAGCAGGTGCCACAACAGCAGTGACACATCTTGATGCGCCGCAGCCAACGACTGGCCGAGCGCAGATCCGCAGGAGCCAAGCCTCAACAGGCACTAAGCGCGGGTCACGCACGACCATGGCTGCTACCGCTGACAACAGTGCACCAGCCAGCCCCAAGAGGCCGGTTAACCCTCCTATCCCAGTTCAGCAGGCCGATGAACCACTTCTAGCGTTCCTCGATCGTCTCCAGCAGTATTCAGAGACGACGGCAGCTGAATTACGCAAGTGGGAAGAGGAGGAAGCCGCCCGCCAGCAGGAGATTCAACGCCAGCTGGCAGAGGCAGAGGCAGCACGTCAGCGGGCCGCAGCAGAAGCTGCAGCAGCCACACGGTTGCAACAGCAGCAGGTCAAGGCAGATCAGAACCAAGCTCTTTACCAAGCCACGATGGACCTTGCACGCGATGAAGCCACATATGACAGGCTACTTCGCCGACAACATTTCCAAGAGACCGAGGAACGACAAGCGCCAACCGAGGAAGAAGGTGACAAATAAGGTATAACAGTTCTGATGGAGAATCTGCTATACACATGCAATTGGCAGCAACGTGGACTGCTCGCGACGCGACAGGTCCTCATCCGCCATGAAACAACACTCAAGGCAATGGACAAGGGGATCGCGTCCCTGCAGGCCAAGAACAGCACACTACATGCCGGCAACAACCAGCAGCAGATACTCAACAGCCAGCAGCAGACACTCAACACCTAGTTGCAGACCGATGTCAGCACGGGGTTGGCACAACTGTCAGCAGTTGCGCCAACGGGCAGTGCAGCGGTAGGCTGCAGCCCAACTTTGGCCGCATAGGCCAAGCAGCTCGAGGAGCGGATCAACCACTTGGTCGCATCCCTCGACGACATCAGCAAGTTTGTTGGACCATCGACAGTCAGCAATCACCTACAGACGCTCAGCGACCGCATTGACCAACGACCGGCCGCTGCCGCCAAGGAATGGAAGATTCCGAACTTCAAGATCGAGAAGTTCGACGACTACCACAAGACTGATCTGCTGCAATGGTGGATGGCCTTCAACGCAGAGGTGGATATACATCATACACCCGCCCATCGGCGGCTTGACGCACTCTACCTCCAACTCATCGGAGGTGCGCACGCTTTCATGACACACATGGCCGTCATGTTGGAGTGCACCATCGCCAACCTCCACTCGAAGATCATATGGGAGGAATTCGAGAAGAAATGGAAGACTCGTTTCATGGTCAACAACGACAAACGGCACGCCATGAACAAGATTTTCCGCATCACCCAAGGTCAGCAGACGTCACAGGAGTGGTTGACGGTGTGGCAAGGAGTCAAGGACTCGTCGCCACCCCAGAGTTGAATTTACCATTCGATGCAATCCGGACCTAATTCTTCGCCCGGTCATGCGACGCCTTGACAACTGCCTTGGGTACTGAGTTTCAGTACGAGACCTTTCATGATCTGATCTCAAAGGCAAGAGAGCTAATTCAAGGTAACCGGTGTGCGGCTAACGGTTGTGTGTCCATTCAACGGGCAACGGGTTTTGTACGACGCCGTTGTACCCGTTGAACACCCCAGGTGTCCCCGTTGAACGGTATAACGGGGGCTTCCCGTTGCATTCCGATCAACGGGTCGAGTGCAGTGTGGCTCGAACACGTGGCGGGACACGCGTGGAAAAAAAAAAGTAAAAAAACTACCCTCTGTGGGTGGGTGGGTGGGTGTGTGTGCGTTTTCATGTGTGTGTGTGTGTGTGTGTGTGTGTGTGTGTGTGTGTGTGATTGGGTGGGTGATGGGTGGGCGACCCATCCCCTACCAATCAATCAATCAATCAATCAATCAAAAAAGAAAAAAAGGCGGGGTTTGAAAGCGGGTTTTCCCGCTTTTTTTTTTTTCTTTTTTTTTTCTTTTTTTTTTCTTTTTTGATTGACTGATTGATTGATTGATTGGTAGGGGATGGGTCTGGGTGGGAGGTGGAGGGGCGACCCATCCCCTACCAATCAATCAATTAATCAATCAATTAAAAAAGAAAAAAAAAGTTTAAAAAAAAATCGGGAAAACCCGCATCCAAACTGCCGCAACTTCGGCCTGTGTGTGTGTGTGTGTGTGTGTGTGTGTGTGTGTGTGATTGGCTGGGGGGTGGGTGGGCGAACCATCCCCTACCAATCAATCAATCAATCAATCAATCAATCAATCAATCCATCAATCAAAAAAGAAAAAAAAAAGAAAAAAAAAAGAAAAAAAGATGAAATAAAAAGCGGGAAAACCCGCTTTCGAACCCTGCCCTTTTTTTTTTTTTTTGATTGATTGACTGGTAGGGGATGGTTCGGCCCCCCAACCCCCACCCAACACACACACACACATGAACACACACACACACACACACACACACACACACACACACACACATGAACACACACACACCCCACCTCCCCGAAGTTGCACGGGGTTCGAAAGCGGGTTTTCCAACTTTTTTTTTTTTCTTTTTTCTTTCTTTTTTTATTGATTGATTGATTGATTGATTGGTAGGGGATGGGTCTGATGTGCCTTGATCGATTGTGGAGCGACTCGCAATTACATTATCCAAGACTTCATGGCACGCGCCGGGCCGGGCCCGCGCGTTCGAAGGAAAAATCAACCAACTCACGTCACGTTGGTCGATGGTCACACGCAAAAGTCAATCGACTGATGCGTTGACTCGGTGCCCGTGTACTTTGCCTCGCTAGCATGCGAGGCCATGTCTTTCGACATACTCGACACCAAGTTCGATATGATCTTAGGAATGTTGTGGCTGCAAAGTGAAGACCATCCGGTGAACTTTCCATCAACGCATCGTTCACGTTCGTGATCAGCGCGACGAACTAGTCTCGTGTACGGTGTCGCTTCCTCATCCTTCGATTGGTTGTCACGTGGTATCCACGCTGAGCATTCGCCAATCCATCCGGCGGAACGACATCAAGGAGATGGGCATATGTTTTCTTCACGCCCTCCCACCCGGTGATCAGCCCAAGACGGATATGTCGGACCCACGCATCATTGAGTTGTTGGACAGCTATGAGGATGTCTTCCAAGCTCCCGCCGGAGTCATACCGGATCGGCCCATACACCACGGGATCACTCTCGAAGACGGCGCCGTACCTCCATGCGGATGTATCTACCGCATGAGCGAAGAGGAACTTCAAGTGCTTCAGACACAACTAGATGACCTCTTGGCCAAGGGTTGGATTCACCCTAGCTGTTCGCCATACGGTGCTCCCATTCTCTTCGTCCGGAAGAAGAACAAGGACCTTCATTTGTGCATCGACTATCGAAAACCTAATGCGCAAACGATCAAGAACGTCGGTCCTCTCCCTCGGATCGACGATCTTCTCGAGCGACTAGGAGGCGCCAAGTACTTCTCAAAGCTTGACCTCAAATCCGAATATCATCAGATTTAGATTCAGCCAAGAGACCGATACAAAACCACGTTCAAGAAGCGATATAGGCACTTTGAGTGGATCGTCATGCCTCGGTCTCACCAATGCCCCAGCTAGTTTCCAAGTGGCCATGACGACAAAATTATGCGACTTGCTCAACCGCACCGTGCTGATTTACCTTGACGACATCTTGGTTAAGAGTCGGACGCTGGACGAGCATCTCGAGCACCTTCGCGCCGTATTGGAGCGGTTTCGTATCGCCAAGTACAAGGCGAACCGCGACAAGTGCGAGTTTGCCCAGCAAGAGCTGGAGTACTTAGGCCATTACGTTACGCCGCA